TGAATGTTCTGGCAATCCCAATGTTCTCCAAAGGCTTTACTGTATTTCAATTTTGAGATACGTTTTCACATTCCATATTTATTTATTTATTATTATTTTCTGCATAACCTGGCCAGGAAACAAAATGTGTCAAGTTATTTCACTTTATCCTCTAGACCTGCTTCAGTAAGAACTCCCCGTATTTTAGGAAATGGAGTTTTAATCAACAAATCATCACCTCCAAATGACCATCTCCCCAATCCTTCCAATGAAGGCACTTAGCCAGCACAACCAGCATACGATTCTGCCAAGATTATCTGTAGATTTGGTAAGAGGTGTTGCTTTAGTCAGCAAAGGCTGTTGCCCTGGACATTTACTTGGGAGCAGTTTTTCCCATCATGGATGTACTTGACTACAATTTCCATTGCTTCCAAACAGAAGAGCCTAGGCTGATTGGATCTGATGCCTACTGAAGTCCAGCAGGTCTGCAAAGCGCCAGTGAAATTAAAGCTGCACAGTTGGGAATGCTTTTGAATAGCTGTGGATTGATTGCAGAGTCTTACCCTTCTCTGGACCTTGATGCTCCCATGCCTATGAGAAGAGCCTCAAAATCCCACAGGTGCCTCCTAGTTTCTTTGCTCCTGTCCAAGGGGCCTGTGACAGTGCTCTGTTGAAATACAATACATCTGTTTAAGTTATGGGACTCAATGAATTTTATATTCAAGTATTTCATTTCATTTGACTGGCCGTCTGGTTTTTCTCCCCTATATTTATATCCTTTGTTGTTGTTATTGTTGCTGTTGCTGCTGTTGTTGTTGCTGCTGTGCTGTTCCTGCTCTCCTTCCTATTCCTCTTCAATGTCTTCACCCTTTCTCCTTTTTTTGGTGCATTCTCTTCTTGAGGATTCATTCATTCATGCTGCCTGGGAGAATGACTCCTCCCTACCCTTTTGTCATCCTGCCTGTCTCTTGAAGGACTTCTCAAAGCCCTCTTCTTGACTAAAGCTCTGCTTTACCTGCTGATCCAGATTCTCTCCCCCCTCCCCACTTCTCACAATTCAGCCATTCTTTAAGCCTTGGACCATAAACAATGATCCTTATTGTCCTCTTCTAATAGGGACCCTGAAACCTCCTGGCAGGAGTCCTACATCGTTTATGTTATACTTTAAATCTTGACATCCTAGTGCACCTTATTCTGAGTCCACTAGCCAAGTACATTAGGACAACTGTGAAGTGGTAATGATGAAACTTAAGTTATGTATGCGTTCCCAATTCTTCACCCACTAAAATTTTCAAAAGATAGTACAGTCAATAAAAGGATTATATGCACAAATTTGATGTAATGTTATGCCTAATATTGCACATGGAACAAATCCATGTCATACCTATTTTATGGTGCAATAGGGTCTTACTAACAAGAATAGAGAAGAATCATAGAGTTTATGGTTATGGTCAGGTAGCTGCCCATATACAAAAAGTATTGTATTAACCAGATGCGGTCTCATCTCATTAAAGTTGCACTCTTAAACATGTATGTATTCTATATGATTGGGGTAGCCCAAAGATGTCTCTACATCCTTTTCATTCACAACTGGATCTTCTTGAATCTTCCTCCCATTCTGTGGATTTCCTACATTCTGCTCCATTTTTCCTACTTCATATCTCTATCTTCCCCAATATTCTGATATATTTAATTCTATGCCTGTTTTTTTTACTGCCATCCCCAAACATCCCCTTTACATGACAGGTACAAGAGGATCCGACCCTTTTTTTTTTTGTTCTTTTCCAGACAATTTTGAGGTTATCAGTAGTGTGAACAATGTTCATTTCCAACTATTCCAAATAGATTTTGAGTTGCATTCAAAATAAAGCTGGCAAGTAGCTGCAGGACAGCTGATTTGGTAGCTAAACATTTTTCATTTTTCTATTTGCTTATTAGGAGAGACGGAGGGAGAGAGAGAGAGAAAAAATATTTATTTATTTACTTACTTACTTACTTATTTTATTTACTTATTTATTTACTGCACACCTTCTTCCTCCTATTTTCCCCACAACAACATAAAACTTATGGTTTTAAAAACCAACCCACAGGATTAAAAGGATGTATTGTAAACACAGGTTACAATACTTGAATATTCTTGAACTGCAGAAATCAAGAAATTCTGGGCTATTTAGGAATGGATTTATGTGTAGAAAAATTGTCCATCCCTTACATATTTAATGTAAGATTCAGGATGCTTCCCCATGCCTTGTGTTTCTGGCTCTGGCGGGTGGATCTCCAGATTCTTAGGAACACAACAAAGTCAATCTTGCAAGTCTAAAGTCTGAAACCCCTTGGACAGATAATTTGGTTAATAATATTCTTTACCACTGGACTTCTGTTGTTGAGATCTTTGAAAAACTAAAATAACTCATGTAATCTATCTCATCTCAATGTGTAGAGCCAGTCAGTCACATAAAATGCTTTCTGAAAAGCTACTATTCTAAGAAATAATGGGAAGTAGTAGCTCTTGGATTGTTAAAAATACAATAAAACTGGGGTTCCTAAAAGTAGTTAATTAATTAATAACTATCTAACTTATTGTCTGAACTCCAAATATAATTACAATTAATATTTTCACAATGTATTTAAAATTACAGTGCAATGCAATGTAATATAATACAGCACTAGATAATGCATATATCAGTCAACAAGGATCAGTAAAAAGCAGTTAGCTATCCCATTCCAATGATTATAATTAATATATTACATTCAGCCCCTGCATGTGTGTATGCAGCATAACATTTATAATGATAATACAATGCAATAATGTATCACTAACACATTCATTCTCACAGCAGAAACTGGAATGTCAAGGTGTTTATGATGAAGTTTCACTCTCACCTACAATTGTTTCAGTGTTAAATGTAAGTAAAGGCCAGTTTCTAAAAGTTTTCAATATAGGGTAGTTGTAAATAGTCTGAATCTTTTGATATTGTCAAGGGTTCTCAGTTAAAATAATAGGTAATAGGATGTTTTGCTGGTTATGAGGCTTCTTTTGACTTGAAAAACATAGTATTCAAAGGAATTGATTTGTTGTTTTGTTTTGTTTTGTTCTGTTTTGTTTTGGTGGGGTATTTCTTCTCCCATTGGGATGGCTCAGACAGAGAACTGATGCTCTCCAGGGCAAATGAGAGGATAGAATAGCTCCACACAACTACATTTTCAACTACCTGTGAAAAACATGTCATTGTTTTTTGTCATTTTTTTAGGTAAGAGGGGGCAAATGGGTTACAACAGGATTATTGGATTTCAACTGGATTGTTTTTTCTGTTCCTTAGTAGTGGAGAACAGAATGAGACCATTTCCCCCATCATCTAAACCAGCTTTCCAAAAGGGACTTCCTGAGCATGCAGGCATGGAAATTGTGAGAGGGATGGTCCCACAACATCTGGAGGGCAGTGCGAGAAAAAAGTCTTGCTTGCTCTGCTCAGTGTCACATGCCAGACCTCCTGGGTAAGATCAGCGAGCCTGAAGTACGGAAACCTGCCAGCAGTGCTCATGAGTTCCAGAGGCCCAGCTACTTTCTTCCACTAAGGCAGTGGTTCTCAACCTTTTTAATGCTGCGACCCCAACCGGTCGTAAGTTGAGGACTAAACCGGTCGTACATCGAGGACTACCCAACCGGTCGTAAGTCGAGGACTTTCCCTGCCTGGGAGCGCCACGCATGCGTGGTTCTGCCCCCTGCGCCGGCGGAGGCATAGCTGGCAAGCAGCAGAGACGGAGCAGGCCGACCACCAGCTGGCCCAGCCCAAGGGAGGTAAGGCACCCACCGGAAAAGGGAAAAAAATATGGCGGACAAAAAAAATATGGCGGACAAAAAAAATGGCGGACAATTGACCCCAAATGGGGTCCCGACCCACAGGTTGAGAACCACTGCACTAAGGCCACCCTGCCTGGAAATGGAGCCCACCTCTCAACCCTAAAGGAAAAAGTGCAGCATCCACAGATTATTTAATGACCCAAATATTGGGGACTCCTTCAGGGGTGGCTCACTCAGAGCTCTGGTTCAAAAGCTCAGCAATCACATGCAAGTGACTAGGGGTGCAGCTGCCAGGTCAATGCTTCAACTGGACTTTTCAAGCAACGGGAGTCCCAGCAACTGCTGCTTGCTGCTGAAGCCCAGACCTGGTGAAGGCAGGTGAAAACTGCTTCATTTGAGACAAGGTGCTGCAAATCCAATAGGTTGGGCTGGGGGAGATGCTAAATCCCCATCCTCTAGGTGTGAAGAGAAGGACTCAAGCCCCTCGCAGAAGAGGAGGAGGAGGAGAAATGCTAAGTACTTAGCAACAGCACCTTCCCCCCCCCATTCTGCCCCCCTTTGAGTGTTTTCCAAATACAGAGAAAAAAAATAAAAAAAAAGCAAATAGGTTCCATGAATAGGATGAAGCAGCAGGGAGAAATCCAGGCATCTCCAAGCGAGCCCCCGGGGAGACCAAAGCTGCGGATATCCTGCGAGGATTCACTTTGTGGGTGAGGAGAGGGGTGGAGGGGCTGCTGAGAGCGGCTGCGGTTTCCCCCCCCCCCAAATACCACCCAAGATGTTATTCAGAGCGAACAATCCCCATTATCTGTCCCCACTTTGGCCTAATCAGACAGAATCCCTAATACTGAAGGCCGCTTCCTGCTGGCTTCGGGGGGGAGGGGTCTCTTTCTCTCTCTGTTTGGGAGGGTGAGGGTGAATCTCTGGAGGAGAGGACAGAGAAGTGGGTGGGTGGGTGGGTGCGGGGGGGGGGTTGAGGAGGAGGTCGCCTTGCCTCCCATTAGAGCTTTAGCACTTGACTACTTCAGGGATCTTAGCAGCTCATAGACAGGGACGGTTGAAAGCAGCCAGTGTTTACGGTTGGGGAAGGCTGTTGATATAAACAGGCGCCCCCGAGGTAAGCGACACTAATCTCCTGCCCGAGGGGGAAGCCGGAATGAGCCTCTCTCCGAGCCTGGCCGGGGTCCAGTAGCTTCTGCCCCGCCAGCCCGACGCGGCCATGGCCACCTTAGCCAGGGGAAGCTTCACCGTGCGGAGCCTCTTGGATTTACCTGAGCCAGAAGGAGGAGGAGGAGGAGGCGGCGGCGGCGAGGGGCAGGAGCCGGCAGAAAGCTACGCGGCTTCTCCCTTCCGGGCGTGGATGGAAACCGAAAAAAGCCACTATCTCTGTGAGTGCGGAGATGGGGAAGGTTGGTGGGGGGGCAGGGGGAGGAAGGAAGGAAGGAAGGAAGGAAGGAAGGAAGGAAGGAAGGAAGGAAGGAAGGAAGGAAGGAAAAGAGGCGAGGCACATGAAACTGACAGGTAGAGCATAATCCAGGACATCTGGAGGGCTGGAGGTGGAGGAAGTAGGTAAATAACCCAGAGAAACTCGTCCTGACTGAAGAAACGCGTTCTATAGAAAGCAAAAAAAAAACACACACACAAAAAACACACTTGGTAATGTGTATACATCTGGAAAGAGAAAGAAGAAAAGAGATCAAGATTATATAAGAAGTGAAAAGAGGTAAGCCTATTACAGATAGTGTATATACAAAATACTTCCCCCTTTTTTTTGTTCACACACACACACACACACCCACACACACTCCAGGCAGAAGGAAACGGGCACAAAGAAGGAAAGCAATTTAAATGTTGACATTTTATAGAGTAAAAATATTGTGAATAGGGTTTTTGTGGCAAGCTATTAAGAATGTGAAGTTGAAGCCTCGTTTTGCCTGTTTCACCAGAGCCCAGAATGGTGTACAAACTTCGCATTAGGCAAACTAATAGAGTCAAAAATTAAATATTCCTTTATCTACAGGTACACAAAGATAAAGGCCCAGTTTACTGTTCACTGAAGGACTCTTAAATTATCAATTTCTCTACCAGGATCCTGGCTTATTAAATAACCACAGATTTTGTAAAAGCTTTTATGACATCTTCTTTCTAATTATATTCTTCCAATTCTTTTATGGGGGACGGGAAAGAGAGAGAACAAATAAATACTAAAAAAGACCTTCATATTATTAGAAGATAAGCCATTGAAAAGAAACCATCACCATCATCAACCCTATTGAATCCAGCATAATTTTAGTTACTATGAATACATTCTGCTTGTATTTGTGAAAGCCATTAGACGTGTGGGTGCAACTCTTTTCCTTCTGCAAATTCCCTCCACGGGGTTCGTTTCTTCTTTTTAAATTGCAAAATGTATTTCAGATACTTTCAGAAGAAAATGTAACCATGTCCAGTGTGTTAGCTTTGTTTTACGCCCTCCTTCTTTATGACATTTCCTTAAAACATTTCCACAATGTTTGAATGTAAGGTAGTTATTTCCGTTATTAAAAAGGATCAGGAACTGTGATTAAATAAATTATTAATAAAAAAAATAACCCAATTCCTGTTGGTAAAAAGTGGCAGCAAACCCTCTGCTTCCAAAGATAGTTAAGTCCCTTTTAAGTTTTCTACCGAACTCAGCCAACTTCTTGGCTGGACAATTCTTTCGTTGTACCTGCTTAAGGAAAGGGTTTCCTTCTCTTTCCTGCCACCTGGAGCGCAACTTCGCTTTAATTCAGACGCGCCCCCCGTTTTATAGGATACTGCTATGGATTCGACGCGACTTTCTAAATGATCGAAATAAGAGTTAGGACATAAGTAAAAATGGATTATTAGCTTTACTGATAGGGGGGGGTGTTCTATCCAAGAAAACTGGTTCGGTTCCTTTTGCCCACCAGTTTAAGGTTGTGAATTCCTCATTTTTAGAAGATGGGCTCCCCAGAGTTGGAAGCGGCGAGGGTGCGGCGGCTGTCGCTCCAGAAGGCGCCCTGCTTTTCAGGCCAGGCTCTTGTCCTGTCTGAATCAACCGTGGCGTTCAAGAATAGAGCAAGCAGGAATTCGTGGAGAGTTGAAGATCGCACCCATAAAGGCTGGCCGCTTCATTTTAGCTTTCACCTTAACCCCCGCAACATACAATAAATAACATACATACAACATGCAACACGCAACACGCAACACGCAACATACAATACAAGTGATTCGCGAGTCACTTATTCTACCTTCTTGGCATTTAGCAGCCCGCCCATCCTTTCAAAAAGATGAGGCGTATTCACATACCGACACGATATATGCGGGGATCGGGTCTCCTTCCCTTTGGACATCCCCCAGTTGATTTCTCTTTCTCCATACAATATTTTCGATTCTTTCGCAGCTAAGCTCGAAAGGGAGGATGCAGTTGCTAGGTATGCGGTGTGTGTGTGTGTGTGGGGGGGGACGCTATGTTTCTCTTCTCAGTCTGGAGGTAAAGAAAAAACCTATTGGTTCCCACCACACACAGGAATGTCCTAACACAAGCGGCACAGCCTTCTGTCGTTCGTGCATATTCCTGGCGAAAAACTACTACCCTCCTCCGACTCCCCCCCCCTTCCCTAGGAGCACGGAGCAGATTAGAGGCTCCACACTTCGGACACATTTTTTCCCCACTCTGCTCTTTCTTATGGGCAACTTCTTTCCCCGCTGTTCCTCAGTTTACAATGCATGTGTTCATTTTACGCTATGGAATAAACCCATTGGGCGTTCAATAAGACTTAGTTTTCGTGTGTATATCGGTATAGGAAGCCATTGTGAAGATACTGCAAGGTTTTTTGGCTGTTTCAGCTTAGAAAATCGCCAGGAATGGAAACTGAAGCAGCCGTGCCTCCTTCTCTTCCTTTGGACCTCAGTTATATAGGCATGCAATATTTTATTTACATGCTAGATATATCTTCATATGTATGCGCATGTATATTCAGATTTTCACACAGCTGTTGACAAAAAACGATAATAAGGCACAACGTTGGATAAAGAGAGCGTGTGACTTTGGGCCAGTCACTGATCTCCGCCCAACATCTCACAGGGATGGCATTATGGGGAAAATAGAGGCGGAAAGAGTTATTTATAAAGCTAATAAAGGTGGGATAAAAAATTTTTTTTTAAAAAAAAATACAGTACTGCAATCCTCTGCATTTTTATTTAGATTTAAACTTCGCTGAATGAAAGCTTAAGCGTAGTTAGGGTTGAAATAGCAGCCTATCCGGAGCTGCGTGATCCGCTTCCACTTTCTACCAAGGTCCACCCGTTCAAAAAAAAGGTTTCAGCTTCTGTCCGAAATATGACAATTACCTGATTTTAGTGTAGGGTGTTAATAATCCCCAACAAGACGGAAAGACAACAAGCGCTAAGCGACATTTTCAATGGTCTGATATTCGAACAAGAAAAGAAACTAGGAAAAGGGTAGGTGAAGGTGAAAGATAAAGGAGGAGTGGGGGAGGGGAGAAAAAAACCTCTATTGACCCCTCAAAAAAAAGTAGTGAATTTGAGAAATTTTCAGAGAAAACAATAGGTTCTTTTTTCTTAGGGGTTCATTCAAATGTTTCACAGGGTACTCACGCTATCTTGTAAGTGCTGTGGATCTCTTTCTCTCTCCCCTCCCTTCCCCTCTGCCACCCTCAAAACTTGAGGCCATTTATTGAAGGGTTTCCTTTTCTGATCTTAGGCTTTGGCTTCACACATCCTCTAAAACCATAATGTGTGTGTGTGTGTGGGGCGGGGATGGTATTGTTTTAGCATGTTTATTTATTTATTTATTAAATCTCCCTTACGGGACTCAGGGTGGTGAACAGGCAATAATAAAAATCACAATAACTATTAAATGAGCTGCCACAGAGAAGGCTCTCCCCCTGGGGGTCGCCAGCCGGCATTGACTGGCCAAGGGCACCCTAAGGAGGCCCTCTCTGTGGGAGCGGACTGGTCGAAGGGAGATATGTGGTAGGAGGCGGTTAGGTCCATTGCCATGGAGCGCTTTAAAAGTTGTTACTAACACCTTGAAGCGCACCCGGAAGGCCACAGGCAGCCAGTGCAGCTCGCGCAGGAGAGGTGTTACATGGGAGTATCTAGAGGCCCCCCAAATCCCCCGTGGACGCAGCCGCATTCTGAACTAGCTGGAGCCTCCAGGTGCACCTCAAGGGGAGCCCCATGTAGAGAGCGTTGCAATAGTCCAGGCGGGAAACAAGGAGGGCTTGAGTGACCCTGTGTGTTGCGAGAACCCTTCGTATTCAAAAGCAAACTAAGGCCAACAGCCCGATCTGTCCCGGTCTCTCCCGCAGCTTCAGACGACAGCGGCGCCGAGAGCCGACCGCACCCGGGCCCCGCCTCGACCCGGCAGGCAGCGCGGGAGGCAGACGAGGAGGAGCAGCTGAAGAAGAAGCGGCGGGTGCTCTTCTCCAAGGCGCAGACGCTGGCTCTCGAGCGACGCTTCCGGCAGCAGCGCTACCTGTCGGCGCCCGAGCGGGAGCAGCTGGCCCACTTGCTGCGCCTGACGCCCACCCAGGTCAAGATCTGGTTCCAGAACCACCGCTACAAGATGAAGCGCGCCAAGGGCGGCGAGCGGGGCAGCGCCGGGAGCGGCCCGCCCCTCACGCGACGGGTGGTGGTGCCGGTGCTGGTGCGGGACGGCAAGGCCTGTCAAAGCTGCAGCGGCGGGACCCCCTCGCGAAACCCCGGCGGGCCCCAAGCAGCGTTCAATCTGCCGGGCTTCTCGGCATTCCCGCCAACCTCCTCCCTGGGCCTTTTCCCCGCCTACCAGCACTTAGCGCCGCCTTCCTTAGTATCCTGGAACTGGGGCTGAAGAAGATCCTGATGGCCGGTCGGCTGGCGGGCCATCTGGCTCCCTGGAAAACTGGATCGGCTCCTTTTTTTGAGGAAGATACCCGGGCTTTCGCCCTGGCCCGACGAGGGGCTTTTGCTTGGTGCTCTCGGGACCTTGATTCGAATAGAACTAGTTTAGAGTAAACATTTGGTGGACTTCAGGCCTTTCAAAAAAAAAAAAGTGGGGGGATCCAATGCAATTTTCTTGGGAAGGGTCTCCAGCTGAGTTTTACCTTACATGGAAGTCATGCCCAAATATGTGCTTAGTAAGATGGTTATTTCAACAGGACTGCCACTCCTGTGGCCTGTATAGCCTTGTTGCAAAAAGAAAGGCCCTCTATGTAAATGCACAGAACAGAGACGAAAGGTTACAATCCTGTGCTTATCCAGGAGTGAAAGGTTACAATCCTGTGCTTATCCAGGAGTAAGTGTTGTCGCTGTGTAGGGCTCCCTGGCAGTTACTTCTGAGAAGGCTTGTGGAGGATTGCATTTTAGCTTTGCAACTTTGAGATCATCCAGGTTAATTCCAGCCACACATACATCTTTTCAGAAAACAGTAAAGGCTTTCAAAATTCAGAAGCATATTTTTACAGGACAAATGGGAATTTTTCATGCAGGAACAATTGTTCTGGATTGCTTAATAGAATAGAAGAAAGTGAAGTTAGGACCTAAAATGATTTGAGAATAAAGTCAGTGGAAGCCTAATTGGAAGGGGAAAAAACTGGATGACTGCACAGTACCTGCCAAACCTTCCTTTTGGCCTTTTGTTTTAAGAATCCAGGAAAACCTACATAAAGAACCAGTTGCATTTCAATTGAAGTGCAGCAGATAAAGAGCAATCTGTTTTTTAATAATTCTACTCATGGGGATTGCTGGAAATTAGTGTCTTTGTTGGGTTCAGAAGCTGCCATCAGAAGGTATTTGTGTGATCAGAGTGGAAGAGAGGAGATTTAAAAAAACATGTATTCAGATGATTGGTTCAAACTCCTTAGAAATGCCTTGTGCCTATTTGTTCAATACAATGAGTCCCAGAAGTAAACCTCACTGAACTTAAAGGGTTCTTCTCTCTGAATAGTTATGCACTGTAACAAATGTGTTCCTCAACAAATTTTGTGGATTAAAGTCCAATTGGTGAGTACAAAGTTGGTGATGGAATAATGCCAGAGTTTAAATGGTAAATAATTACCAAATGTACAACCTGCTGTGACACAAAAGTAAATAAATTTCAGACAAGATGGGTGGCACACAATCGAATAAATAAATAAAATAAAGACTCACTCTGATCCAGCTCAGTTCCTGGAAACTACATACGCATACACAAGTACAGTTTGAAATCTGATGAAATCAGCTATGATCTTCAGAAATTTAATTCAAAGAAACCCAATTGTGAGTCATTTCCAGATGGTATTAGTGATTGAAAGTGTTCCCTCATTGTGGTGAGATAAAACCTGTCTTTGTCAATCAGACCTTACTACCATAATGGTTGGGCTGGTTTAACAACACTAGTTCATTACTGCTACCCTTCCAAAATCCTCTTGCACATTAGGTGTGCAATTTTTCAACTGGGTTCCCTGGAGATTCAGAATTCTGGGAATTAATTCAACAATTTTTAGGACAAGCATCTGGGGGAAGGATCTGCCCTTTTCTGCTTCCTTTTTGGTTCCAACAGCTTTCCCCACATCCTGATCCTAGGGACCATCTGTGTAGCTGAACTCAAATCTGTTGTGTGAGAGCAGGGCAGGGACTGAGGTTGACTTCTTCCTTCCCATTCTCTGTTCCTGGTACTGTGAAATAATGGCCATATTAATACATGTGATTGCTGTTGGGTTTACTGTGTGGATGTATCCAGACAAAGCTGCTACTTAGGATGAGCATTCAGGGTGATGTTATTATTGAGAATGATATAAATAGTCTGAAAAATATTGCTGCAGAATGAATTTAATGAAAAGAGTAGGTCAGCTTTAGCATTGGGAATTTTGATAAATATTGCATTTATGTAAAGCAATCTCCTGGCCCAATCTGGCCAAGATCCTTGGGAACCAGCAGTTTGGAAAGATCTCAACAATTTAACTTGGAAACTTGAGTACACAATCAAATATATCCCACTGAAAATGACATCCTTGATTGTGCACTAGATGTGCTAAGAAAAAATAATGATGACTAATGCTTTGTCAGAAATTTAGGACCATATCATCTACTACAATGTGAAAGGTAGTTTGGTCTTGGGAATCTCCAATAACCAGACTTCCTTAAAAAGAAATTTGAGATTGAAATGTATTTCTGAATTCCATTAAGAGACCAGACATGTCCTTCCTTATGCCATAATAAAAATTGCAATTTGATATTTTTTACTCCTCAACTGATTCAACTGAAGATGGAAAGTTTGAAGCATTTTGTAATGTTCATTTTATGCAATTGAAATTATGCTGTTGATTATTACTTAAAATAACAGCATTAAAAAAAATCCAAGACATTAACATCCAATACTACTTTCCTTTGAATATGCTGACCTTGGCCTTTGATAATGGTTTGAGAACTCATACACAATGATCCTTAACAATTTAATTAGGAAATATTCAGACACCATCGCAAATGGTGATAACCTGAGTTTCCTTCTACCTACCAGATCCCCTGGTGGAGGAGACTGGTTTTAGGGCCATCTAATAAAAACATACTTTTACCTTTTTTCTTTTTGATGGTTATGCTGTACAACTACAGTAGGTCCTTGCTTTGCTACACACCCCTCAGAAATTCAGAGCCCAGGCTAAGGAAAATGGTAGAAGAAGCCAAAACCTGACTCTCCTTTATAGTTTACAAAGGAAAATGTGTGTGCAGATGTACATATGTTGTTTACCTTCAAGTAGTTCTGAGGTGGGGGAACTGATGGTTAATGGGCTTTTCAACATTGCAGAACCAAAAGTTCCCACCATCCCTAAGCACTGGTGTGAGATTCTAGGAGCTGGGACTCATAGTTTAGCAATCCCTGGAAGGCCGCCATTCCCACTCCCACTATTTTTGAAGCATATCACGTGAAATAGGCCTGTCTTCAACAACTCCTCTTGCTTTGGCGGTATAATTTAGATTGTTCTCCCCAATTTGGTACTTTCCAGCTTTGTTGGGCAATATCACTCTCAAGATTCGCAGCTAGCAAGGGGACATTAGCTAAAGATGAAGAAGGGCACAGTGGCCCCTGGGTGTTGATTCTACAGTACTGATCCTTGCAGGCTTTCCTCTTCCTGCCCTGTGGATTTTGCTGATATCTTTGACTACATCTTTTGAGTCCATCCATGGGAAGATTTGTGATGGTTGTGTTATTGGGCCCCATTGTGTGTCTCTGGAAGATCCTTGAGGGAGAGCAATTGGGATGGTGGACAGTCCTGTTGTCACCTGTTTTTCTTTTTATCCTCCTTCCTCCTTTTTTAATTTTTTTTCATGTTATGGTCTCAGCTGCTGGCCACCTTGCTTTCCATATGGTTGGCTTTATCTCAGAAGAATCTCTAAGAGAATCGCTACTTAAACCTCCTTTTGTCTCAGAGGTTGAAAAGGACATTGTGGTGTCTGAAAAGGACCTAGACAAAATCCGCATTGTTTCAATTCAGGACTGTTTAATCAGTGCCTAGTGACAACTTTATGGGCTTTGGGCAGCACAATGGTATCTTTTGAAAATCTTGTGGCCTTCAGGAAAACAAAGAGCTCGAATTTTATGGCCTTACAGCTTAAATTAGAACCATACCAGTGGGCTGAGGAGATTATCAAATTTGTATCATAAAGCATACATACACACACACACACACACACACACACACACACCCCTCCAACATATGATTGCAAGGATGTGTATGTGTGGGTGTTACAGAGGGATGTTATTTTCAGAAACAGACTGGAAGATAGACTGGGAGCTCAACCTGATAAACTGAATAGCTAGCTTGGTCATGGGGGGGCGTGTTCCCCCTCCTCCTCCAGATCCCCTTGTTCAGTAAACAACCTGAACCTTATGAAAGAAAAGAAATGTATTTGCATTCTGCATAAAATAATGTTATCTAAGTGAAGAAAAGATACTGATTTCTGTGTGGAGGGAAAAAAAGGAGACTTGCTTATATTGTGAGGGAAAATCAAAGGTGCTTCAGTTTTGATTTAGTACATTGTGTGAATGTGTGAAGGCAGCCTTTGTGGATGTTATGGTTTAATATGTTATATGTGAACAAGGCTAGCGTGACTTAGTGAACAATACATAGTTATGATGAAACATAGTTTAACATGATGCACGAACCTAAAGAGTAAATACAGATTGTATGTAGCAGGTGGGCCTCCCTGGTGGGGATACTCTGTTCTCGGGCCCCAGATACTATTTCCTTGTATAGAAGATACTGGAAGGAAGTCTTTTTCTCTCCCCTTCATCCAGCTTAGATGACCCTCATAACAGAATGTTCCAGTTTCTCTGAAAAAAAGATGTTCTGCTGGTGTCTGAGGTTGGTATGGTGAACATTCGCTCAGAGCAGGGGTAGGCAACCTTGGCTCTTTTATGACTCATGGACTTCAACTCCCAGAATTCCTGAGCCAGCATGGCTGGCTCAGGAATTCTGGGAGTTGAAGTCCATGAGTCATAAAAGAGCCAAGGTTGCCTACCCCTGGCTTAGACCTACAATTCTAAAGGGTATGCATTCCCAACTCTAAAGAGGGAGAGGTTTCCCCTAGCTCAGTGATGGCGAACCTTTTAGAGACCGAGTGCCCAAATTGCAACCCAAAACCCACTTATTTATCGCAAAGTGCCAACACGGCAATTTAATCCGAATACTGAGGTTTTAGTTTAGAAAAAACAACTCATACGTTAACATCTTTTGTCTTAAAAGAAAAACACAATAACAAAGCTTTCAATGACACAAACAACTTTTTACTGAAAGGTAAAAGTTTGCATTTGGCCTGCTTTTGAACAATGTCATTTTTGCTGTTGTATGCATGCTGATAATTTGTCTAACCTTG